CTTCCGCTGAAATCGGCAATGAAATATCATCTCCAACGGTTCGGTGCAGACTTAAAAGTGCCGGCCTAACAGGACATTTACCCAGAAAAGTTCCTTTACTTCGGAAAAAAAATTTACAGATGAGGCGCTAGTTTGCACAAAATCATTTGGCATGGTCTGGACCAGAAGGTTCTAAAAAATGGAACGTACGTATGTACGACGCCCAAAAGGTAAAGAATTCGACCCCCGGTACACAAAGAAGACCGTTAAGCACGGAGGCGGATGCATAATGGTTTGGGGCTGTTTTTATTGGCATGGCGTTGGTCCGATACATCGCATAACTGATATTATGACCCGATTTGGGTATAAAAGTATACTCGCTAACGTTATGCTACCATATTCTGAGGAAAACATGCCTTTGAGATGGGTCTTTCAACAAGACAACGACCCAAAACACACCTCAAAGCTGGTAAGGGCTTGGTTTACCGAAAACGAAGTAAATCTTATGAGTTGGCCAAGCCAGTCTCCGGACTTAAATCCGATTGAGAACCTACGGGAACACTTAAAACGTCGTATCGGCACAAATACTTTTCGAAATGCCGCAGAATTCTGGACATTTGTCCAAAAAACCTGGTATAACATTCCAATATATACTAGTAGCAAGCTTATTGCTAGTATGCCAAAACGAATCGCCAAAGTTGTACAAAATATGGGTGGCTATACTGGATATAAGTTACAGATTAAGGAAATCAAGGAAATGTTGAAAAATTGTTGTTAAGTTTTGAGTTTTTGAATTTGTAGAATTGGTGTACTTATTATTTTGACCAACCCATTTTTATGTTTTTTAGATATAATCAACCACAAACTTTATAAATGAATTGAAAAATGCCTATGTTAACTATTTTTATAATCTAATATATATCAAAAAGCTATAAGTAAATTTGAGCTTTTCTTTATATCATTAAAGAAGTTTTACGAGAAGTTAAAGAAACCGTACACGGGTGTACTTATTATTTTGGCCAGTAGTGTATATTTAAAAACAAAAAAAAAATCGATCGGAACGAAATCGTCTGTTGTTACATAATGGGTAAGCAGAAACACAAACATTAAAACGCTCCCCTAAACAGTGGTGCAATAAATTCTCTGGTAACGCTGTCGTCTTTTTTAATACCATTGCAGAGGGTATTTTTATATCTAACCATACATACTATTTACGCAAACTAGTCGTTTAGATTGAAACTTTTTAAACATCTTCTTTCTTGCATAAATATAGTTTATAAGTTCCCAATGGAATAATTTTTTTTAAAACAAACCATCGATAATTTAACTTAATTTCTATTTTTTAACACGTACGCACGCAATAAAATTTTAATTTATTTATATTACTGAATCACGTAAACTTTAGCTTTTATATGTGATTTTACAAGTTCACTTAAAATACCAGTCCCTTGTCGCCACAAAGTGGCGTAATTTGGTTTTGATTTATAAAAAAAAAAAAGTCTTTTATTAATTCTTTCAACAAGTTTTCAAAGGTTTTAAGTCGGCAAATTGTTTAAGCCACTTTAAAACGCCTTTTTTTGGCATACATTTTCTTATAATCGAACTTAATTTCGTAGCTCCATGTCCATCCGTCCGTCCGTCTGTCCGTCCGTTTCTGCGCCTAGTCCCTCAGTTTTAAAGCTATCTGCTTAAAACTTTCCAAAGCCAGATTGGGAGACTATATCATAGAGGAATAATTTTTTTTAGGATCTTTGGGATTTTATACGGAATTACGGTTTTAATAAACTGAATATCTGAACAAGAAAGGAAAGCTAACTTCGGGCGGAGCCGCTATGGCAGCTATAGGATATAGTCCGACTTATATACTGCGTGCAAAGGAAAGAAGGGTGTGTGCAAAGTTTCAATTCGATATCTTTAAAACTGAGAGACTTGTTTTCGTAGAAACAGACAGACGGACAGACGGACATGGCTATATCAAGTCAGGAGGTGATCCTGATCAAGAATATATATACTTTATAGGGTCGAAGATGTCTCCTTCACTGCGTTGCACACTTTTGACCAAAATTACCCTCTGCAAGGGTATAACAAGAATAAAGGAAAACTTCGTCAAGCTGAAGTGTTGAATTCCCTTTCCGCTATTACATAAAATTTGACATTTAGTACATCAAGTGGGAAAAAATTGACTTATAGACCGTCCCAACAAGCAGACCGCCAATATTTTTATACCCTTGCAGAGGGTATTATAATTTCAGTCAAAAGTTTGCAACGCAGTGAGGGAAACATTTCCGACCCTATAAAGTATATATATTCTTGATCAGCATCACCAGGAGAATCGATCTAGCCATGTCCGTCCGTTTCTACGCAAACTAGTCCCTCAGTTTTAAAGCTATCTGCTTGAAACTTTCCCAAAAGTTGTCTTTCTATTGCAGGTAGTATATAAGTCGCAACGAGCCTGATCGGACGACTATATCATATAGCTCCCATATAACTGAACGATCGGAAATGCCATAACTTTGGTGTTTTTTAAATTAGGATGTTGGGATTTTCGATGGGTTGTATTTTTGGCCAATCAATCCGACCTACCAATTTTCATAAGGATCAGCCCACTTAATCCTATAGCCACCATATAACTGAATGATCGGAAATGCCATAACTTTGGTGTTTGTAAAGTTAGAAAGTTGGGATTTTCTATTGCAGGTAGTATATAAGTCGGAACGAGACGGATCGAGCGACTATATCATATAGTATATATATATATATAATCGGTCGGAAATGCCATAACTTTGGTGTTTTTAAAATTAGGATGTTGGGATTTTCTATGGATTTTGTTTTTGGCCAATCAATCCGACCTACCAAATTTGATCAGGATCGGCCGACAATATCCTATAGCTGCCATATAACTGAACGATTGAAAATGCCATAACTTTGGTGTTTTTAAAGTTAGGTAGTTGAGATTTTTTATTGGTTTTATTTTCGGCCAACCAATATAATTCACAGAATATTCTGCAAGGGTATATTAACTTCGGTTCCGCCCGAAGTTAGCTTTCCTTTCTTGTTTTTTATTATAAAACAACTGAAAAAAAAAAAACGCAGGGAAACAGATTTTTTTTGCAGCCCTACCACATGACACAAATTAAACATTCGTCTCTTCAAAAAAATTAATAATATTTTGGTAAAGGTGCCAAAAGCTACATTTTTTATATACATTTTCTAAAATTTTAGCATTCAATGTTTGAATTACTTAAAAACAAGAAAGGAAAGCTAACTTCGGGCGGAGCCGAAGTTTAAATACCCTTGCAGAATATTCTGCAAATTATATTCTCCAAAATTATTCATATGATGCATTCTTAATACTCATAAAAAATCCCAACTTCCTAACTTTAAAAACACCAAAGTTATGGATCCTTATGAAATTTGGTACGTCGGGTTGATTGGCCAAATATAATACCCATAGAGAGTCCCAACTTCCTAACTTAACAAACAGCAGAGTTATGGCATTTCCGATCAATCAGTTATATGGCAGCTATAGGATATAGTCGGCTGATCCCGGCCGTTCCGACTTATATACTGCGTGCAAAGGAAAGAAGGGTGTGTGCAAAGTTTCAATTCGATATCTTTAAAACTGAGAGACTAGTTCGCGTAGAAACAGACAGACGGACAGACGGACAGACGGACATGGCTATATCAACTCAGGAGGTGATCCTGATCAAGAATATATACTTTATAGGGTCGGAGATGTCTCCTTCACTGCGTTGCACACTTTTGACCAAAATTATAATACCCTCTGCAAGGGTATAAAAATTAATTGAGAAGTGTAATTAAGATTTGAGCATTATTACTTGGCGATTTGAAATGACAATGTCCGTTTGTTTCTATACGAGCTTAGTTTAAATGCAAGACTTCAAATGTGTGCATATGTCCTAGCTGGCATCTTAAAAAGATTAATTTGTATGGATAAAAAAAATTAACTTATTCCCGTTATTTTAGTTTAATGTTTATACCCGTTACTCGTAGAGTGAAAGGGTATATTGTATTCGTGCAAAAGTATGTAACAGGTAGAAGGAAGCGTTTCCGACCCTATAAAGTATATATATTCTTGATCAGGGTCACTAGCCGAGTCGATATAGCCATGTCCGTCTGTCCGTCCGTATGAACGCTGAGATCTCGGAAACTATAAAAGCTAGAAGATCCTACGCAGCGCAAGTTTGTTTCAAAAAGGTGCCACGCCCCCTTTAACGCCCACAATCGCTTATATACGATTTTAAAAATTTAAATATTTCGGAAAAGTAAAAATGCAGTTTTATTGTGTTTGTCAATACCTATCGAAATGTAGAAGAAATTTTTCAAATCGGACCATTCGTTAAAAAGTTATGCGTGATCAAAGTTTCTATCTCCATCTCCCTCGCACTCCCTTTACCTGAGTAACGGGTATCTGATAGTCGGGGCACCCGACTATAGCGTTCTCTCTTGTTTTATTTTATTTTTCGTCAGCTTGTGCTGTTGGAACTGCCGTTCGACAGATGGCTCTACCAAAAATTGTCGAAATGCGCCATCTGCTGCGAGGATACTTATTTTTCAATTGGTTAGCGAAGTATCGGGTATTTTATAGTCGAGGCAATGAGTTTCTCAGTTTTTTCATGTATTTTGTTGTTTTAAAAAGTACAATTCTTAATTGTGGTTACATATTTTAATAGAGAATGGCTCAATAATTAGTGTCAGACTAGTTCAAGTGGAAAGATTTTTCTTATTATATTTTTAATATTTATTGAATGGTGATCTTAAATCCATTAATATTCAAAAAATCATTCAATTATATTGTTTAATTTACATTTGTTTTTTTTTTGTAGCTTAACAAACTTATTTTCTTAAAACAAGTTTTGAGAACTCGCTATTTTTTTAGAACATAATAAAGTTTAAAAAAAGTACCGAACAAAAATTTGGAAATATTTGCACAGCCTGTACATAAGCCTTTGCGAATATTCAAATAAATAAAAAGAATATAAATAAAATATTTTACTTACTGGTTCATTTGATGGAATATTCTTGGGCAGTGAACGGTCATTACGAGAATCTCGTTTATGTTTGTAATCCTCTTGAACTTTGCTCTCCCCGTTTGTATTAACTTTTTCTTTCAAATGTTCAAGCCTAAAAACAAATATAACGACGATTATGTTATGATTTTAAAAATATTAATAACTGATATTAGTTATGACACTACATTGACGTTTCTACATTGAATTTTTCTCAGACCATAGTGTTTACCGTTAGTGCAATTGGAGATGCAAACAAAATTAACTCAAAGCCAAAAAAAAAAATCTATTAATTGTGGAGTTTTTAAATTTTTCCCGACTTTTACGGATGAAAGGTTTTATATGAGGAAACTTTTTGGAGTCGACGTCACTTCCTTTTAGTGTAGCAGAAAAAACGTGCGAATTAGGCGCAGCTTAAACTGCTGCGGACGTAATCGTGCTCGTAAGAAAGAGATATATTTTCATATTGTTCTGAAGTTAGGCGTTGGCATACACGCATAATAATTCTTCCATTCTCTCTGCTTTTCGATCCTTTATGATCTGCAAGAGCCAAACGCAGTTGTAGCGAAAAGTGTTTGGTATTTAATCATGTTTATAAAATTACTCGTTTCCTAAAATTCTGAAAATCATCAAATTTGGACCGATTTCACCTTATTGTTCCTATGGGAGCTATAGGATATAGGCGTCCGATCGTCACGCGCTTTTACCCTAATGAAGTATGCATACAAAAATACGATTTGGAAAGATTCATGTCAATTGCTTATATACTGTAAGAAATATCCTAAAAATCATTAAATTTTAACCGACTTCACCCTATTGTTCCTATGGGAGCTATAGGATATAGACGTCCGATCGCCAAGCGTTTTACCCTGATCAAGGTATGCATAAAATAATTCGATTTGGAAAAATTTATGTTAATAGCTTTTACACTGCGCGAAATATCTTCCATTCTTGCAAGTTATATCCGATTATTCCTATGGGAGCTATAGGATATAGACATCCGATCGGGGTTTTTAAACTTGGTCTGCGTACACATGTTTTATGACGACTGTGAAAGTTTCAGATCACTAGCTTTTAAACTGAGCTCGCAAACGGTATTGAAACAGACGGACAGACGGACGGACGGACATGGCTATGTCGAATCCTCTATTGATCCTGATCAAGAATATATATACTTTAGGGGTCGGAAACGTCTCCTTCACTACGTTACAAGCTTCTGACCAAAATTAGAAAACCCTCTGCAAGGGTATAAAAAAATTAAAAACAATTTTTATTAATTTTATTTTAATTTTATTTTTTAAATATTCCCTTGAGATATAGTAATTATTTACTATATCAGAAGACCGAAGTAGTCGTTTTGTTATAACTGCAAGGGCATATATACTTCGGCTTGCCGAAGTTTGTTTCCTTTCTTGTTTTAAATCCAAATAGCTTTAAACTAAGGGACTAGTTTGCGTCAAAACAGACAGACAGACGGACGGGCAGAAGGACGAACAGACGCACGAATAGACGGACGGATAGACGGCCGGAAATATGCCTTTCATTGCGTTTAAATTGTTGACTGAAATTGTATCACAATTGTATTATAATTTCAGTCAAAAGTTTGCAACGCAGTGACGGAGACATTTCCGACCCTATAAACTTTATATATTTTTGATCAGCATCACCAGGAGAGTCGATATAGCCATGAATATATTTTCCGATTGTTCCTATGGGAGCTATATGATATAGTCGCCCGATATGGCTCGTTCCGACTTATATAAGCAGATCCTTATATCAACTCAGGAGGTGATCCTGATCACGAATATATACACATGCCAGAAAAAGTATGCGTACAAACATGTCCCGCAAATTTAGAGTTAAAAAAACGTGTTGAAAAAATCTTACAAATTAAGTTTTTATTTTTACAGGTAGTACACTTATTCACCTTTCGTTAAATGTAACTTAACCCTTCTAACACTTATACTTTTTCTAATATTAACAAAAATGTACAAAATGTCCTGATTTCGCATCAGAAAAAGTATGCGTACAAAGACAAAAATCAAAAGGAAACTCTATATTTTTGGCAAAAGGTCTTGAATTTTAGACGGAGTGAGGTACCCCTTTCGTTTTTGGAATTCACCCAACCGATTTCGATTTGACTGGACCAATTTCGTTGTGTCCTCCACCGATATTTTATCCCTTTTTTTAGCATGTCCTTTGATGTAATAGTGTGCTGACGGATCCCGCGCTCCTGGAGCTCCCACAAATGCTCAATGGGATTGAGATCTGGAAACTGCGGGGGCGAATTTAACTGGTTTTTCACATTACAGAGCACTCAAGGCTTCGTATTCATGGCACAATGTTTTGGGTCTTTGTCCTCTTGGAACCAAAAGTCATCGTTTAGACCCAGTTTCTTGACGCTTTGATGTCAATTTTCTTTTATACATCTTGTGATCCATTGTGGATTCAATGAAAACAAGATTTTCAACTCCACTAGCCGCCATACATCCCCAAACCATAACGCCACCACCACCGTGCTCAACGGTTGGGGCACGGTTTTGGATGTCGAGGGCTGTACCATTCTTTCGCCACACAAGCTTACGGCCCTTAGTCCCGAATATGCAAAAATTGCATTCGTCGCAAAAAATCACTTTTTTGCAGAACTCCTGGGGCTTATTATTGAATTTTCTGGAGAACTCCATTCGTTTGATTTTGTTGACTTGTGGTATGAGTGGTTTCTTCCGGGCAGTACGGCTGTTATAGTCTTCATTCTTCAAAATTTGGGCAAGAGTGTCATAATGATGATCCTTATTATACTTTTTCTTAATATCCTTTGCCATTTGGGAAGCTGTTGTACTTTGATTTATTTTATTGTCTTCAAATTTTTAAGGACTCTTTGTACAGAGCAGTGTGCTCTGCCAACTATTCCACCGATTTCCCGAATAGTTTTCCCTTCATCACTTAGTTTTACTATGACTTTCCTCAAATCATGGTCAATTTCTTTTATATTTTTCCCCATCATAAAAATAACGTCTGGTTACAAAATAAATATGTCAGATTTGATCACAAACAAGTAAACAAACTTTGACTTTTAGTTATCAATGCCGAAACTGCAGTTTAAAAGCTTTTAATACCGTCCTTTTTGATTTATTTTTTTTTGTACGCATACTTTTTCTAATGGGAAATCGGGCCATTTTGTAAATTTTTCTTAATATCAGGAAAAGTATAAGTGTTAGAAATTTAAGAGTTACAACAAACGAGAGGTGAATAAATGTGCTAAAATAAAAATGAAATGTTTAAGATTTTTTTCAACATGTTTTTTAAACTCCAAAGTTGCGGGACATGTTTGTACGCATACTTTTTCTTGCATGTGTATACTTTATGGGGTCGGAGATGTCTCCTTCAGTGCGTTGCACACTTTTAACCAAAATTATAATACCCTCTGCAAGGGTATAAAAACGTTAACTTCAATAGGTTTGTCGTCGTTGACCTTCGCCTTATAAATCCAACTTGACATGGTGTGTAATAACGTTTTCGGAAAGCTTTGGGATGGCTTACAACTTGGTTATACCTCTGTAATTGCTTGTATTCTATTTATTTCCTTTTTTCCTGGAATTCCGTCGGGACTTCTTAAAGATCCAAGAGGAAGGATCTTTTGCTTATACTCGGACAAAAATTAAGTTTGACTTAGACGTGTCATAGGAATTAATTTGGACGGGAGCTAAGAATAACCGGCTTTAAGCAGGTTTCTGTACACATAATAACAATGAAAAAGAAAACTATCCGAGCACAATTTATTTTGCTTTATTATTAAGCCTCTTGAATCAATTCGACACTATATTAAAGATTGAAACTATATAATTTAAATACCAGTCTTTTCCAGTTGGAAACGCATTACTCCATAATATAAACAACTAAACAACTTAATATAAATATGCCTTCTTGTGTTTTTTTTTGTTTCAAAAAAAAGTTAAAAAGTTAAAGGAAATGTAGGCGCTAGCCAGGCTTAAGCGTTTAATGGGTTTTTGGGCGTTAGAGTGGGCGTGGCAACTTTTATTAGGCCAATCGATATTTATTGACGAAACAAATACATATCAATAAAAATTTTCATAATATCATCAAAACTGTGGCCACAGCTTGTGGGCGTCAGAGGGGGCGTGGCACCATTTGGAAACAAACTTGCGCTGCGTAGGAACTCCTAAAATCTACATGCAAAATGCCAATCTTCTAGCTTTTATAGTTTCCGAGATCTCAGCGTTCATACGGACAGACAGACGGACATGGCTAGATCGACTCGGCTAGTGATCCTGAACAAGAATATATGTACTTTATAGGGTCGGAAACGATTCCTTCAACCTGTTGAATACTTTTGCACGAATACAATATACAATTACTCTACGAGTAACGGGTATAATTATGGATGCTACAGTCAAAACATCAAATCTTATGTAAATTAAAAATACGTTTGGTCATACGCCGCAAAGGAAACACATGGGTTAGTAATGTAACAAGCCGAATGAGAATATTAAAAAAAAAATGTGTCATAAATTTTATTAACATTTTTCCAAATTTAAAATTAATATGTACCTGTCGAATCGCTCACGGGGCTGATTTAATTTATAATTCCCTTCTTCATGGTGCTTTTCATCTGAAATAAAAATATATTTATACTGTTATTATATGTATGTAATTGCAATTTACTAGCAATTAAACCGTAGATCTGTGATGTGATTATTTAAGAAAAAGTTTCGAAATTACGCATAAACAAGAAAGGAAGCCAACTTTGGCAAGTCGAAGTTTATATACCCATGCATTTATTGCAAAACGATTACATTTCGATTTCTATGCCTATATTACTAAAAGTAATGAAGCTAGGTCGATTTCGCGCTGCATTTTGCCATCGTTTTCATGGCAGCTATATGATATTGTTGTCCTGAGATCCTTCAAACTTATCTTCGTATATCATAACAAACATATAAAAAACAAAGAAGTTTTAAATTTTGTTTTCGTTTATTTTCCTGATGATTTTAATGTGAGCTTATGATATAGTCGAAAGATCCAAAAAGAAGGCTTTTAACAAACATATAAAAAACAAAGAAGTTTTAAATTTTGTTTTCGTTTATTTTCCTGAAAGTTTTTAATGTGAGCTTATGATATAGTCGAAAGATCCGAAAAGAAGGCTTTTAAAAAATGAAATGTCTCCTTCACAGCGTTCTTCTAACATATTCTTCTAAAATATACTTCTAACATGTACTATAATACCGCCTGCAATGGAATAATTAAGATTAAGAATCGTGATAACCAAATAATTTGTGTATCGAATTCAAATTTTATACTTTAAGCATAAGTAAGAAACTTAAATTAAGTGAAATTAAAGCATTACATCAAAAATATTAAGATCCCGTTTTTCGTATCGCTGAAGCGATGGAAGCGACCACTTTCCCTTATTTGTTTGTTTTGGAATACATCCCCATCCTTTACTTTATAGCGACAAAATCTTAAATTATAACTCAGATACTCGACCTTTTAACAATGTAAACAAAAAAGATAATTAAAAAAGTTTTATTTCAAAGTGTCAATCTCTATACCCCAAAACTCAATCCTTACCCTCAAACGTACTGCTCCCTGGAGAATCCAAACTCCCATCACTGATCTGCCAGTGATCTGCCATCACCAATCTGCCCCTCCAGGAACGGATTGTATCTTAAGGTTTCTTCACCTACCCCTTTTACACACAAAATTCTAAAACACTTCAATAATATCCTCAACTCCCACACTTTAATCTTACAAACTTTAATCTTACAAACTTTAATCTTACAAACTCACAAACTCTCCCCATTATGAAACATCAAAAATCTCAAATCGAACCCATGCCTAGTAACAGTTCTAGACAGTTCAGTCATTGGTAAAAAGGTTTTGGTGGTTTGTTTTAACTATTGACTTTCCGCATACGCGGAAGAAACTCAAGATTATGAAAACGCGGCCGCAGCCGCAATAAACGCAGTTGATGATGACAGTGACTCATTTGACTGTAACGACCTCGTCAATTTTTTAGAGGAAGGTCCCGCTTGCCCTTTATTGAGCGAGGGCTGGCGGGGAGAACTATAAAAATTCTCTTAGACACTGGAGCGGCAAAGACTTATGTAAAGCCCCTAAAGGAGCTGAGGAACATAATGCTTGTCGACTCCCCATTCATGGCTCCAGTAATATAAAAGAAAAGTGCTTTATGCACATATTCACATAAAGGCTCAATTTTTTTTACTTGATACTATCAACACTTTTGATGCCATATTAGGTTTCGACTTGCTAACGCAGGCCGGAGCGGCATTAGATTTACGTAACAGCGTTATCAGGTATGGAAACATATCTGAACATCTCAAATACCACGAATGCGATAACGTGAACTTCACTAATATCGATGACTTAATAGTCCCAGATTCAGTGAAAGCTGCATTTAAAAAAATGATCCTTAAGAGAAAACAAGTGTTTTCGCACTCTAACGAGGCGCTACCTTTTAACACCTCGATCATTGCCACAATTCGTACGGAGACTAACGAACCCGTATATTCTAAGCTATATCCTTACCTTACGGGAGCAGCAGATTTTGTTAACACAGAAATCAAACAGCTGTTAAAGGATGGCATTATTCGGCCCTCTAGGTCACCATTTAACAGCCCAACATGGGTTGTTGACAAAAAGGGAATTGATGCAGATGGCAACAAGAAAAAACGGCTGGTGATCGATTTCAGGAAACTGAATGAACGAACCATCGCCGACCGTTACCCTATGCCAAGTATTCCTATGATTCTAGCGAACTTAGGAAAGGCAACATTTTTTACTACCCTAGACTTAAAATCGGGGTACCTGAGAAAGACCGTGAAAAAACTGCTTTCTCCATAAACGGAGGAAAGTATGAGTTTTGCCGTCTACCCTTTGGACTGAAAAATGCGGGAAGCATCTTTCAAAGGGCGATTGACGACGTACTACGTGAACAGATCGGGAAAATTTGTTACGTCTATGTAGACGAATTTTTAGGTTTCATTGTTACATCAAACGGAGCCAAAACAGACCCCGAAAAGGTAAAAACCATTCAGGAGTACACCGAACCAAAAAATTTGTTCAGTCTCAGGTCTTTTCTAGGATTGGCCAGCTACTACAGAAGTTTTGTAAAGGTCTTCGCTACCATAACTAGACCACTTACCTCCATACTTAAGGGAGAGAATGGCACTGTTAACAAACACATGTCAAAAAAGGTTGCTATCGAATTTGATGAGACCCAACGCAGAGCGTTCGAGCGCCTGCGAGACATTTTGTCATTAGATGATGTGATACTAACATATCCAGACTTCAAACTTCCTTTCGATTTGACAACCGATGCCTCAGCAAGCGGTATCGGTGCGCTACTATCCCAAAAAGGCACGTTGAAAGACTGCGAGCTCAATTACGCAACGAACGAAAGAGAATTATTGGCAATTGTTTGGGCCATAGAAAAATTACCAAATTACCTATACGGCACAAAAGAGATCCGGATTTTTACGGACCATCAACCTCTTACCTTCGCTGTATCCGAGCGAAGTACAAATGCCAAAATTAAACGATGGAAATCATTCATCGAAGAACATAACGCCAAGGTATTCTACAAACCCGGAAAGGAAAATTTTGTGGCCGACGCTTTGTCACGACAAAACATAAACGCTATACTAAACGAACCCCCAAGGACTCGCTGTTCGAATTAGTCAAAGAGGTAGTAAACGTAGATGTTGTTAACGCCATTTACTGCGACCTCCCCGCACTAGCTTGCATCCAACATGCCTTGGTGACCGAAATCCCAGCAACCAAGTTCTGGCATTGTAAAAAATTCGTGAATGACATCACGGATGCAAATGAACAGAAAGAAATAATTATCTGCGAGCACAACCGCGCTCACAGGGCAGCCCAGGAAAATGTTAAACAAGTCCTTCAGGATTACTACTTTCCAAATATGTCCAAACTTGCTAACGAAGTGGTTGTAAACTGCAAGACATGCACCAAGGATAAGTACAACAGACACGCCAAGAAGCAGGAGTTGGGTATCACACCAACCCCCTCATATGCTGGCGAAATACTGCATATAGACATATACTCTACGGATAAGAGGTTTTTTTTAACCTGCGTAGATAAATTTTCCAAATTCGCTGTATTACAGCCATTACTTTTTAGGGCCATAGTCGAAGTGCGCAGCCCCATATTACAACTAATAAATTTCTTCCCAAACATTAAAACAATATATTGTGATAATGAGGCATGTGGGAGCCAGTGAAAATTTAAAACTCATTTTGGTACTTTAAGGGGGTCTTCTAGTCTAGAAATTTGAGAAAATCGAAAAAATTTTTTTTTCTTAATTCGATAGTTTGGATGATCAAAAATATCTCCCTAAAAGGATTTTTCAAAACTCAAATTATTTTGAAAGCTATAGCCGTTTTAGTGACGTGGCAACTAGACCAGTTGAGGGAACGACTGGAACTTTAAACGCGTTTTTCTCGAAACTACTTTTTTTGATGCGGTCGCCACTCTAACTCAAGTTCTAATCAGTCGATTTACTTGAAATTTGGCATGAATATTCTTTTAATATATCGCTATCGCATGAACCAACAAAAAATAAAAATTTTAAATTTATAATATTTTTAAAAATTTGACAAGGTGGAAAAATTAGTGAAAAAATCGACTTTTTTCTTTGACTAGCCGCCATTTCATGAAAAAAAAAAGATATTTTCTTTTTGGTGGTTCATGCCATAGCGACATTCGTACTCATTAAGAATCTATCATTGTTTTATTTTTCAGATAACTACAAGCATAGATATCATGGCGACGCGGACACGGCTTCTTTTTTTTCCCCTCTTCTTTAAGAAGGAATAACTCAATGAAAACTAATTTTTTTTTTTTGCAAATTTATTTTATGTACTCCTTTAAGTTTAATAAACAAATGATAAAAAAACGGATACTAAAAATATCTATTGCTTTTTTTTATTAATTGTTAAAAAAAGGTCGATATTCGAGCCTCTAGACTAGAAGACCCCCTTAAGCAAATATCACCAGTCTGGCAACGTGAAGATCAGATCTTGACAAAAATACCAGATTAACAACAGAAATACCAGAACGAAAATCCCGCCTATGGATTTTGGACGTACTAAGTCCACATCGAATTTCTTGGAACCGCGTGTCGCACACGCATTCCTTGGAACCGCGTGTCGCATTTCCTATTGCCACGTTGCGGATCGCTTCGTCTAATATTTTGCTGCACATCGCTTCGCCAATTGCCTTGCTGCGGATCGCTTCGCCTCTTTGCCTCGCTGCTGGCACAGACAGGAGTTTACCTGAGATCAGAAGAAAACAGTCGCCGTCCACTGCAGAACGTGAATTGTCTACCTTCGGAAATCTTTTGGAAACTTTCTCGTGGTACATTCTTCCCCGGATTTATCAAGAAGCTGCAGGCCACATTTCATCCCTACCAAGAGTAGTGGTGGTGTGCCCAAGCGTGCTTGAGCGTTGCGACACGTTCAATCCTGTCCAGCTGCGCACCTCAATTGGATTTCTGCGAATCAACTCGCTAAGGAGAGCATTACAACAAGCTCGTTTGCGAGAATAGTTCTGAGTATCGTAGATTTAGTT